TTAGAACCACTAAATCGACTATGAAACACATTGGACTGGTCATAAAACCCACTGAATTGACCTTAAATCCATTGAACTAGTCAGAGAACACCCTGAATCAGCCATAACAGTGTTGAACCGACCATTAAAAATACTAGTCCTTTAATTTCATCACTGAGCCAGCTGGTTTTTTCCTTTGAACCAGCAGCTAACTAGTTAGTTTATTTTTTAATCAATCTAATGTTGCCTTGGACCAAAAATAAACTAATCTTTAAACCCTTGAACTGACTGATTTTTCATTTTCTTTATTATTTATCTATTTAATTTATTATTTATGTTATATGGATCCAAATCCCAGATCTGGATCCTGATTTGGCTTGCCTTACTGGCCTGATTTAGTTTAAGGGCTTAGCCCATTGGCCATCGTGTAGCCTACATTTATAAAAATTCAGCCCAATTTCTTCTAGGCCAGCCCATGGCCCAATAAAATAACCCAATTTCTAATCCGACCTAGGCCTATTTAGCCAACTCAACCTAACATGCAACTAGATCATTTCTTGTTCATTCAGAACTTTGCAGATTAATCGAAAATGTAGATCAAGCAGTTACCTCGAATTTTTATCAAATCCTTGCAAATTGATTTAGCTAGATGGTTTAGAGTGAGTAGATGAAGGCCACCAAGGGATTTAATCAGCTTAGAAGTAGCTTAATTTGTAAAATTAAGCTTGAGAATCCAAAAATGACGGACAAACGGCAAACCCAAAATCTATAAAATTGAAGAGCTTAGAGACTAAGTTTCAAAAAATTGATTGTCGTTTATTGTTCCTCGCTCTCACTTGCACTAGATTATAAAAGAAATTTAACCAAAAAACGTTCGAATTAATAGAATTTTGATGACTAATTTCCGTGGAAACTACATTATGGATGATTTTAGTATTAATTTTCTGGATTTTGCAATTGAGTCCCTAGTTTTTAGCCTTAGTGCAATCTGGTCCCTAGCCAATTTTTAATATTTACATTCAGACCCCTTAATTATTTATTTCATACAATTAAGCCCCTAACTTGTTCAATTAAACCCCCAAGATCTTGTTGCTTTCAATTACCCCCTCAGAATATTTTTTTTATTTATTTTAATTTTTCCAAAAGTTGGGGGTTTTACAAACACTAGTAAAAGTGGGTTATAAATAACATGACCAAATTACACTTTTAAACTGTATCTTTTTGGGTCCCATGGCTCCTTCCTCTGCTTTCACTTCCTAATTCGTCTTCTTCTTCTTCCCTCTTCCTTTCATTGATTGCTATGAAAGCTTGATTCTGCTCATCATTTACTACCATTGACAGCTATACCTTCTAAAATGACTAGCAGATTTGGTAAATTCAATGGCACAGGAAGCAAAAGCAAAAGTAAAGGCATAAGCAAAAGTAGAAGTAGAAGTAATGAAGGGAAGAAGGAGGAGCAAGGAACCTGAGCGAAAAATTGGTCACCAAAATCAATTTGGGTAAACCCATCTCCTCAGATGGATTTAATCACCCAATTCGGCTTTTAACTGGCTAAAAACATCTGCAAACAATTCTCATTGTGGATAAATTCTCCATTTAAAAGAAAAAGAAAGGAAATATTAGTGAAAATAAACAAGGAAATTTCAAAGGGCCATACGAATAAAAGTCCCTTTTTCGTGTGGACTCAGTTCTCTCTCCATTTTATAAAAGTGAGGCACAGAACAGCAAAATACTAAATAAAAAAATCATAGCACAAATTCATTACAGCGTGATCAAAGGAGGCAAGTGACCATATCCAAATAAAAGTTGACATCACATCCGTAGCTTTGTTTGCTTTTTTCTTATAATAAAATTTGGGTTTCTTTATGTCGAAGAGTTTTTAAAGTTAGTGGATGATTTTCAAAAGTTCATAGTCCAAGAAACCCTAAAATCATAAATACTTAAAAGGTAAGAAATTATAAATTATACATAATCTATATACATATATATATATATATATAAGTAGATAGATAGATAAGGATAAAGTGCTAGGAAAAAAGAAATTTAACCATGTTATTTTTGGATTATAAGAAATGCGTTTTTTATGGTTTTGTAAAAGAGTGTGTACAGAAGTTGTTGGGTTTTGAGTATCAAAGTTTAAATGACATTTTTTTATGGGACAAATAACAATTTATCTCCTAGAAAAGTTAAGTTTTAGCTTTATACCCTATACTCATACATAAAAGAAATTTTTTTTTCTGTAAATATTAAATTTATAATACTTACCTCTCTAATCAATATTTTAATAAAATATTCATTAAAAAATCTACTTTTAACCAGTATAATTTTTTTGCTATAAATGCCGATTTCGATTATTGATATAGAATATAGTGTACTTCAAACAAAGTAATGATGGAATTCATACCAACTATCGGATTTGCATGATGACTGTCAATTTCCAATACTTACTGAAAGTTTTCATTTTTGAACTTTATCGGGATCTCCTTCAAATAAAAAAAAGTTATATGTATCCAATTTCTTTAACTATTTATATTTTTTAAAAGTAAAATTTTCAATAAATATTTTATCAGAATGTTGATCAGGTGTAAGTGTTACGAATTTAATATGTGAAGGGGAGAGATATCTTTTATGTATTTGTAAGTATTATAGTATTAAACCCCTAAATTTTCTAGGAGAGTAAAGTGATATTTATCCTTCATGATATAAATTTTGAAATACTTTGCTTTATATCCATTTGAAAGTGTGAAATCATATTATGTATAAGATTCTAGAAACTAATATTAGACAATTTTAATTTAAATATTTTGAATTAATAATTTATATACAAAAAGTTGGAAGGACTACTAGTTTTCAGGTTGTTAGAAATTTACTGAATTATATAAATTATATTTTTTATATTTAATATTTTTATTAAATTATATATATATATATATAGAGAGAGAGAGAGAGAGAGAGAGAGAGACACGTAAAGCGTGATTAAAGGTTGGGCAAGTAAGATCTATTTCATATTAGATGTAAGAGTAGAGTAGATCATATTTTAAATGTGAAATCATATTAGATGCATGTTTCCTTTTCAAGATACTCCAAGTTGAAAAGGAGAAGAGATCTAAAATAAGTGAAGAAAATAGGAAGGAAACCCCCTTCGGACCCATCAAATATTTGTCAGGGCATGAGGACATGAGTTGCGGCTATCCCGCATATATGAAGAAGCACGAATCTCTCCTACTGTTGTTTATGGCGACAGACATATTGTTATATTCCATCTACAACGGATCAGCAACTTTTTTGAATTCATTTATTTAAATTCGTCTGTCATATTTATTTTCAAATAAATATTTTTTATTTCCTATTATCGAACTAAAATTTTAAATTAAAATATTTTAAAATGATATGAAACATTTATTTATAATATAATCAATATTTTTTATTTTTAAATTAAAATGTGGGAACCCTAATCATGAAAAAGGCTTTTCCAATGGTGACTGGAAAGAAACCTTAATGTCTTGTCGTTTTGCAACATGACTTAGTATTTAAAATTTAATGTATTCAAACATTAAATATAAAAAGTAATTTGAAAGAACGAAAAGTAATTTTCACTTATTATTATTGAATAGAAAAGGTAATTAAAAATATATAACGTTTTCTCTCTTAGCAATTATGACAAATTATACTATTTTCATATTAAAAATTCAATATTTAGAATTTTCTACATTTAATTTTCAATTTTATTGTGTCTAAGCTTTTTTTTTTTTTTTTTTTGGGAAACCAAATACTTGTTCAAAATAACAATTGAAGAAATTAAATATTTTTCCTCCAAATAATTAAGAAAAAAAAGTGAGATAGAAGCATTGCTAAGAGACAAATGTTGAGGGTAAGTACAAAAAATATTTATACGTAGAAATGGAATAGATCAGAAATAAAGGATTTAATTGATTAATTCTGATTCATTTCTTTGCTCTATTAATTAGGCGTGTGATTATCCGTGATATATATTTTTGGACAACAAGAAAATTTTGAAAAGAAAATTAAGAAAGTTTTCACATGTTTTTCACGTGAGGAAAACTTTCTTATATGCATTCAGCTGATGTCAATTGTTGAATGAGAAAAGAATTAAGATGAATGAGATCCAGCAAAAGTCCAATAACTTTAACAAAATTATTTTTTTATTTGGTAAAATCTCTAGAATGACAAAAAGATCCAATTCTCATTCTTCCTTCGGCGTTGAAAACAACATGCGCTTGTCACCATCAACTTTGCTTTTGCATAAAATAATAATATCTGTCCCGAGAGGGGAAGCACCGAACTAAGGTTTTCTTCCTTGTCTCTACCAAGATGTTTCTACGTAACCAGCGTGAAAATCAGCCCAGTTGATCCAAACTCAACTCGTATATAGCCTGCTCTGGTTAGATCTGATTTAAGTTGATTTTTGTGTAACTTATCCAACTAGACTCAGTTAAAAAGAAAATGATTTATTTATTAAATAAACTTAATTTATCAAATTTTGGCATGACCAATTAGTCTTATAGGTTAGTTTCAATTATATATTTGTATATTATAATATATAATATATATAATATATAATATTTGATGAAGTAAATTCAATATAAAGGAATATGCAAAAGGCATATCTAACTTGAGTCAATTTAATATTTTAAGTTATTATTTACTTGTTTAGTAAAAAAAAAATAAGTAGATACTAATAAATAAAGAAAACAAATAGAAAGTCGGTATGCTCTAACTTTCTTTCACTCATTATATAAACATTTATTAAATTTTTAAGTTATTTTAAATATATTACTGTTTTTATATTTCCTACATATTTTAAATCTCAAACCCTCTTAAATACTTTATAATATGATAAAATAATTTTTAAAAGAATAGAAAAGATTCTCATAAATATATTTAATATACACTCATATTTTCTCGACTTAAGTTTTAAACTTTTTTATTTTTTCTTATCCACTGAGCCAAAAAATTTACTTGTCTGTCTAATTGGAATGCTTATATATGTGGAGGAGTAGAAATAGAAGAAAAAGAAGAGAAAGAAGAAGAGAAGATGATGATGATGATGACGGAGAATGGGGCGCCTGGTTTTCGGTTCTACCCAACAGAGGAAGAGCTAATATTGTTCTACCTCCACAACAAGCTACATGGAAACAAACAAGACATTGACTCAGTGATTCCAGTCCTTTGCATCTACCAGTTCAATCCTTCCGACCTCCCCGGTAAGTTTGAAATTTCTGTAACTGAGTTTCCAGAAGTTAGTCTTCAATTTTCTGAACTTCTCTCTTTCTATATACGTCGCTTTTGCATTAATTAGGGTTATTCATATATCTACGTACGTCGCTTTTCTGAACTTCTGCCTTCATAAATATTATCTATATGCAGAGTAGCCTGTCTCCAGGGTTTTAAACTCCGCAGATTTTGATTAATCAGAATTCTCTTTCTTTTTGTTGTTTCCTGATTAATCACAACAACTTTTTACCATCATCCTTCATGGCATACAAATGAACTAAACCCAACTGTCTAGGGTTGGTTAAATGAAATTAGTCTCTCCACGATGTTCATCTCCGTAATAGACCTAAAAAAGTTCTGCACAGACTATTACCTGGACAAGAAACTCTTCCTTTACATATATATTAATAATTACATATGTATTTCATCTATTTCTTTTATGAAAGCAAATAACTATATATTTGATCCTATGATGAAGAAGATACCATTTCAAATTCTACAACGATATCTCATAATTAGAAAAAATAAATATAAATTAAAAAAAATTAAGCTTCTTTGCTCGTAATGAGTGCGCATGAACATAATGAATTTAGCATTTTTAATGAGGAAGATAAGAGCTAAACAAGAAAATTTTGATGAATGAAACTAGTCAAACTACAGCACAAGTTTGATCTTCTGTTAAATCCTTGCTAATATTGTTCAACAGAGCTTGCTGGGGAACGGTGTCGTAGTGACCCAGAGCAATGGTTTTTTCTTTATTCCAAGGCAGGAGAGAGAACTGAGGGGTGGAAGACCAACCCGCCTCAGCCATTCAGGGTACTGGAAGGCCTCCGGTTCTCCGAGTTATGTTTACTCTTCTAATAACCAAGCCATCGGCATAAAAACAAGCATGGTTTTCTACTTAGGAAGATTTCCCACTGGACGAAAAACTGAATGGAAGATGAATGAGTACAAGGCCATTGATGGAGATGCACCCACGTCAAAAGATGCGGTTCCAAAGGTTTGTATGTAATTTTTGCAGCTTTTTCTCTTTCTTTATTTTTCTTCTTCGTTTTCTTCTTTTTACCAGAAAAATACTATTACCCTTCAGTCACAGATTATTTGGGTCGAGGATATTCTACTGCAACATGAGTGTTATGAATTCAAAAAATAGAAACAAGAATCAGTATGGGGAAGTAGGGTTGCTGGTCTAAAATTGGATCTCCCAAAGTCCTGCAACATCAGAAGCCTTGTAAATTTAATTGAAACCCTACATGGAGATGGATTTTAGGATTTATGGAACTAAATTGGAAAAGCATTCCTCTCCTAAGCTTACTTGTTTGGGCGTTTAATTTCTTTTTTCATTTTTAAATTTTATCCGATTTATATACATAATGGAGGAAAACTCTAGACCATGACATGCACAATGATTTTAGTTTACTTTATGGCAATTTTGACATGGAGCATGAAGATTTTTGACATTACATTTGTAATTTTTTTTTTCAAAGCGGGGGATTTAATTAGTAAAGATCCTAAAGGATCATTTCAAACTTGAGGAATCCGTCCATACAAAACCGAAACCATCAAATGGACCTGAATCTAATTTATATTCCAGGATTGCCAAAAACGTATCCAGAGGCCAACAAAAGAAACAAATCCTATATCAAAAATGATCAATCTCAACGGCCCCATTTTTTATTTGGGTTATACTGTAGTCGACCTTACTGAGAAATGTAAGTGACTCCATTGAGAATCCTAATTCAAATCTTACTTTCTCAAGTTGGCTTTCTCCATTACCCCACTGAGAATCCAAATTTAAATCTTACTTATTGAAGTTGGCTTTCCGTAATGAAGAAAGCCAACTTGAGTAAGTAAAACTTGAATTTGGATTCTCCAGTTTTATGTATTTGAAATGAATATTTATTGCTATAATTTAATTGTCTGGACGGTCATTTAAATCTGTTCTCCACTAAATCAATTTAAATCTTAAATCTGACAACAGTTTAACAATAAAAAAGGATTAGGGTCATCCTTGAAAACAATACTTGTTCTTGATTGAGACATAGTCATTCTATTTTAAGTAAGAAATTTAGAATATTATTTTATTATTTTTAAAATGCGAAAAAAGGACATACCAATAAAACTGTTATGAAAAACATGTAACCTATGACCAAAATATGCATGTGGGATTGAGACATGTTGCTTAGTTTGATTTCCATATATCAAGAAAGATGTAGTTTTGAAACTATTATTCAAAAATATAATGGATTTAAAAAATTATTTTTGAGAAAATTTGCAGAAAAGAAAATAGTATTCATAACTTTTTAATGATTTTTGAATAATTTAATCATTTGTTTAATTCTTAACAATAATTCAAATGTATTTAGTCTTTATACCAACAGTTACTTATTAACCCCACTAACAAAATTTCCTGATTTCGCTATTAACTTGTTATGTAAATTGTTGCAGTTAAGGAAGGAGTTTACTCTGTGCAGAGTGTACAAAAACTCAAATAAATGCTTCGTTCATTTGACAGACGGCCACCTGCACCAACGCCGGGCAAAGCAATTGTCCAGCAAGCTCACCACGCGGATGAGGCAACAACATCTCATCATCCTCAAGACCTTCCTGTGATGGAGAGGAATAGCCACATGCTGATGGTCAAGCCGAGGCCTTCGAGAATTGGATATTGGCATTGAAGATGAGCTATTTGGGATTGGGATGACTGGCAAGATATTCTAGCTTATTCTCTGCCTAGTCTTTCCTTCTTCGTTTAACTACGCTTGGACCTGAAAACAGTTTGCTTTGAGTGCAAGGGAAACGAGGTATTCTAAAAGAAAATTCTACTTAAGAAAACCACTTGAGTACCATTTGTGTAATGAATTTACCGGTTTTGTACTCATTGCAATATTTGAATTGTTTGGAGTAGAACAAAGAATAGAACCTCTTTAACTTTAAGTTTTTCAATTAATAGGTTATTTACTTATAATCTACCTAAGAAAACCACTTGAGGAGTTTTCCCAGTTGTGAAATGAATTTTAACCGGTTTGTACTCATTGCAATTTTGAATTGTCTGGAGTAGGACACCAGGAAAAAGGTTCGATGTAACTTCAAGTTTTTCAATTTAATAGCTTACTTTACTTATAATCTATAATTTTTTTTTGAGAGCGCAAGTCAAAAGATAAAACAGAATCACAATATAATAATGATAATTTAAACTCAACTAATAAAGAT